TTTTTTAAACATTTATTTTGGGAAATATATATAAAATGTTGCAATTATAAGCAGATCACTCTGTATTGTTATCTTGTGTTTTGCATTTATTGTCGCATAAGCGGCTACTCTGGTTTTACGATGCAATTAAAAATTTATTAACTTTTTATAATAATCTAATAATTAAATAAATTAGCGCTACGAGTTTTGTGAAACACATTGATAAACATCAACATTCATTTCTCAGAAATTAAAAATAATGTACTCACGTTATATGATTGCTATGTAATTTTAATAACGAAATAAATGCACTTTCCAATTCGCTATTACAAAATCTGTACGCTATGAAATTCGTTATTATCTGCTACTGAAAAATCTGTCCGCTATGAAATTCGTTGACAAATCTCTATGAGTGGTATTGTCACATTTTTTTACTGGAAGCACAAGAATGCAACAATTTTTGTTTCGCTCCACTATGGAAAAGAAAAATTAAAATTAAAATATGAAAACGCGAATACAAACTAACAAATGGATAAGTGAATTAAGAAAGTTAATTAAATGTTGCCTCTTTTTAATAAATAAATTTGCTACAATATATCAAGATATTCTTCTCACGAACATGAGTACGTGACAGATTTGATATTTCTGTTTTTGGATAGAAAAATTTTTAAGGAGTATTTAAAGAATATATAAATTCTACTTTCTGTAAATTTGATAAATAATAATTTGGAGATATGTTAAACGAAATATATTTACACATGCAAACATTAAACTATACTTGTATTTGACTTTTTTATTTCACGATGAATTTATATGTATATACTATATTAATTTAAAACTTGTCTTGTTAAGAAAGCACAAATTTCGGAAGATTAATTAAAGTTAAGAGTGAATATTTACCTTGACGAAAACAAATTTCTAGAATTGTATTTTTATCCTGTACTTTTTTTCAGATTCTTAAACAGTACTGTACACTGCGAGTATCTAATGTCGACTGTGAGCTAAAGAGGCTAAAGGCCATCACACAAATCTTAATCGTAACTATAAGACTGTAAGCAAATGGACCAATCACAATGAACATTGTAAAAATATTTGACTGTGATTGGTAGACTTGCATATGGCCTTACGCACTATTAGAACCAAGACTTTTTCAACGTACAATGGTCTTAAGGCAAGTCGTAGGCGTGTGCGTGTCTTTCTTTGAAGAACAATGATACTTTCTTTATCTGAAATGTATACGTTCTTTAGCTATCGCTGGCCACATGATCCGAAACCGATAATAGTAATAGGAAATCTTAATAATTCTTATTTAGTAATGATTTTATCTTCTACGATAATAAATTTTATTAATAAATTTCCGAAGAAAATTATATTTACAGCAAACAGAACAAGAAAAACGTTAGTACTATTTTATTAGAAATAACGACATATCGATAGCATTATTCATTGCTATCAGCATTTATTTCGATGACAGTAATGCCTAGAGAACCGCAATTTTCTTCAATTTTTCCGATTGCTCGAAGATTAAAGGGCGATTTAATTTAACAAATAGCGCAATCACATTTGAAAATAAATTGAATCGTAGATTGGAATTAGATATAATATCGCAAAACAACCATGATATTGTTACAGAAATATAATAAAAAAAAATTAAATATTGTACAAAAAAAAATTAATTATTGTTTAAGACGAGGGAAGTTCATAATTAGTTCTTAATCTTGAACCATGTTGTTCATTCGTTTTCACGTGTGATGAAAAAGCGTGAACTGTGGCTGCGCGTAAAAGAACAGTATTTTCTTATTCCTCGAGAGAAATTTTCGTTTTATTTTATAACAATAAACTTTCTCCATCATTTTTCGAGCGAGGGAGTCTCGAGTTTTACCTGATTACCTGGTCGACATCTGGCAACGCTATATCTCCTTAATGCCGACAATTGTTTTTTTATTCTCTCTCAGTCGCACCCATTGTCTGTTTCTCGAGAAAGTTTATGAGACAATCCTTCAAAGATAAATAACTCTGCTGAGTTTTATTTATGAAAGAACGGTCGGTTCAAAGTACATGTACGTATCATAAAATGAATAAATACTGACAAACATATCGATGCGTTGATTGAAATACGAGAAAAATATCCCTTTCATGTTCTCGTCGCGTGAAATCCATTGCACAAAGTCGAAATGTAATCTCGACGTGCACTTCACCGTCGTTGCGATACATCGAACACTAGGCAGACAGCTAGGAATTATCAGTTTCCTGTCGACGAAGCGACACACGTCCTCGTCTTTGGCAATCGCGTCGGTCGATCGGGGAAATGCGAACTTCATCTCGTGTGCGTAGCACAAAGACGGCGCACGCGGGAGCCCGCCATTGTATCGTCGCCGATACCTATTTCGCTGCCACTTGATGCGGCTGGTGTGAAAGGCCGATGTCAACGACAGCGACCAAGAGTCGTCCTCGATCGAACGGAAATAACGGCCGAAGAATCGGCCTCCATTTCATCGCGCTCTTCTTTCATTCACCCTCCTCTCTCGTATCACGTTCCTTCGACAGGTCACGATGGGGAATCGCGCGGTCAAACGGAGGCTTCGATTTAAACCACGAAAATTAAATAAGGGTAGTTCACGCAGGCTTCTCGATCTCAATGATTGAATTTGGCAAGCGATATTCGATATTCGGAATAGGAACCATAAGTCATGCTAATAGCAGATTTCTCAGTGGGTTTTAGAAAGATTTGACGGTATAATATTTGAGAAAAGAAGAAACTAAAAAAAAATACTCATCTGAGATTCAAGCTAATAATATTTATCGTTTCTTACGAGCTCACGTCAGAGGATGCAGAATCTAGATAAGGCAATATTGCAAAATTAAGTGAACTGATTGCAAATCTGCCGAAAGGCACAAGCCTTGTTTATTATGTTGTACATTTGCGCTGTTCGTGTTAGCCGCGCACGTTCATTTACGCATATAGCATAAGCTGCTTGCCTGCTGCATTAATGGAATGCCTTTGTCTCTCTGCCTGCGCCTGGCACGAGATTTACTTCACGAGGATTAAATCGCATGGACCGCACGGGATGTCCGTCTGTGAAGAGCGAAACCCGGAAGGGGAGGGTAACGACGTAGCGGCTCCAAGGGGAGAGAAAAAAAGAAAAAAAAAAACGTGCGCGGAGAGTCTGAACAAAAAGCGGCGAAAGGGTCGGGTGGATTAAATTTTCAAACTGTGCACAGAGCCTGGGAGCGCCGCACATTGTGGGTGGCCCCCGCGCGCCACGATCGCTGAATTAAAAACAATGGAAATGCTGAGTCCTCGGTAGCGCGGCTCTTGTTACGGCGTTTGTTTTCCATAGCGAAAAATAATAATAAAAAAAAAATGCATTAATCGAACCGCCCGCAGCCGCCAGCGATGACATACGAATGTCGTCGACACGCGGCAAACCAGAGGCGAGGGCCTGCCAGGAATTATCGAACATCGGTTCCCTCGATTTACTCGATTTCGTATCATGCGCGCGTGTTTTTAGATTAGAAATTTAATTACACAAATTTTTAAAAAACGCAAATAATGTACATATATTAAATCTGTCTCACACGGATAATTATCTTAATTAGACATTGAGAATCTCAAAATTCCTCGAATATCGCACAGAGTTCTATCTTATATATTTCTTCCATGTTATATCCTTTAAAACACGAGAAAAGATAAAAGTTTTTCGCACTGTGCTAGCGAACATAGTTTACAACAAACCGAGAACTCTTGCGAGAGCAAACTCGATAACGATTACGTGACGGTAATTACACGGCGCGGAAAAGAATTTCGTCATAACTACGGTAAACATGCCCTCACCGTCGATAGGAGGATCGAGGGGATAAATCAACCGGAGAAAAGTTGGTTAATCTTCATCGAGAGAGCGGTAGAGACTTGTCGGATTGTTTTCATACGGAACTTTCGAAGCGTTTCCGTAGACGTCTGCCAGACTTTACCCGGGAGATAAGGATCCGCGTTATTACGAAATATTCCCACGTTCCTACGAACATCCCGAGGGGGTGGGGAAAGAGGGTAACTTGATTACGGCAGTCTTACGAAGAATTCCTACAATTTCCAGAGTGCCGACGCTTCGCCAATCATCTTTCCCACATGGTGAATGCAATCTCGATAATCCTCATCTTTTTAGGGTAGAGATGTGTAGGGATGAATAATCATAAAATCTAATTTTCAATGAGAAATTGAAAGTTTATTTTTATATTTCAATTACAATTTTATATTCAATTTAAATTTTCATCAATTTCGAGTGAAAAATATCCTATTGAAAAATGAATAATAAAAAAGATGTATGGAAAAATTCATGAAATTGCCCCAAACAATGAACAGGAATATAGTCCTCAATGTGCGAATACGTGTTTATAATCACTTTAATTCATAATAGTATAACTGGAAGTTGATTCTTATTATTGAAAACAATGTTATTTGTATTTTATAATATTTATGTTATTGAAAAAACACATACACGCAACGTAATTTACATTAATTATACATTTTGTCATAATAATATATGATATTTTATATGGCCATTATTATTGCCTCCATTTTCGTCTAACAATAAGTAACGAGCTAATTATATAAGCAATTGTGCAAAATAAACAATGTCTGCGTGTATAATTGATAAATCAGTTTAACTGAGTCAAATCTGAATTACATAATCATTTATACATCATATTTTTGGATCCGTTTATCGCGTATTGTCCTAAACTGAGAGATTAATTAAAATTTTTAATCGCATCTCGTTTAGCGCATGTTGAGATTTCGGGTAAATAGATCTAGTATATATCTCCATAATGCATATCCTCTTAAATCGCCGTGCGTTTCGCGCTACGTTGCTACCGTATATTTATAACAAAATTAGGAAATGTCCTCTAGCAGGAAACTGGTCAGAACTCAAAGGAACCCTTAACGTTTATAAGTATGCGGGGCTCTGATTAGAGTTCTCTCTCTCTACCTATTTTCTCTCCTATATATTTGAATAATATTCTTTCCCTGGACGTCTCCCTTGAAGTGCGAGGCTATGTCAGATCATAATTAGCATATACGAGCCGTCGTATAAAACAGCATATATAAGGAATATAGTGTCGCGGAATAATCGTTTGCTTTTGCAAACTCATTTCGTACGATTTTAATTTCCATAATGAGTATTTATTATTTAGTCCAGTATTACGATAAAATCTACAAATATCGTTTATTAAGGTTCGATGACAGAAAAACACTCCCGCGAAAAAATATGTATCTCAGAATACCGTAATAAAACGGCTTTTCCACGTTTGCTTTGTGCGGTTTGTTGGCGCCAAATTTGTTTTCACGAGTCAATAAAAATATCTCCTGTTCGACTATATCTATTATATACAATAAAACAAGCATATGCTTAAAATAACGCATTTACAAGAGTTGTATTTTGGTTATCAGAAATTACATAGAAAAATTTAATTTTTTTAGATTCGATAAATACAATGGGAGAAGGGACTTTTATTTCTTTTCACAAACTACAAAATTTTGTTATTTGTTTTTTCTAAATCTTTTCCGCTCTTTTCTGAATTTTTTGATAGAAAAATTGATATAAAGTACGGGTATAATTAAATGTTGGGCAAAAATAGTTAATGGAACAGAGACGATTCACAACTCGTAACATTGAGAGATCCAATCTCGGTCCTGTGTATTCTAATAGCAGGATTGTGTACAATGCAGAACGCGCGGATAAGATCTGTCGTATCGCCTTAAGTGGAATAAGTCGATCGTAGTTGAGAAACTAACCGAGGCGGAACAAGTTGAGCGATTGCCCGCTGGTGAAGGCAAGACGTCAGCTCGTAAATGTTGCGCTTTGTCTCGCGTCGCCTGAGTATTTACAACTTGTACTACTCGCGACCATCGATCGAGCCATGATCGAGTAACTCTGATCCGATGCGAGCGAGAAGTGAATAAAAACAGGATAGTTTGACGCGTACGATCTGCCTACGTTTTCTCCATCGCGAACTATTTCGCACCAAGTTTCTCGAAGAGACGAAGGAAGGAGGATAGAAAAGAAAGACGTTCGATTTGAATGCGCCTAATCAAAGTTAAGGCAGAAATATCGAGGCAGGGAGAGAGGAACAGACTATTCGGTTCTTCCAAGTCCCACTTAAGATAAAGCGAAGTGCACTTTACCGTGAGAACCTGACACTTTTCTCCGCGAATAGCTCTCCCAGATCTCAAATTATACCCGATAAAGAGCACTTGCGACTAATGAAAAAATTGCTTCCAGATTGCGATCGTTGCACCCCATGAACGTATACCGTCTTCCGCCACATAATTTTTATCATTGCAAGACCGCACGTTACGGCGGATGAACCTGATAATTTTATCATCAAATTTGAAAATCAGATTTTCTTGGTAAGCGAGAATTAAAACTATCACATCGTTCTTATACATGGTATTGTTATTTCATTATTTTCTTTAATATCTTTTCCGATAATCATTTTTCGAAGATTAAAATAATTTTATATTTTTAAATTCTCTTCACACGATCTTTCTATGACGCAAGCGTTTGCGACGATCATCTCGACGGCAATTATTCATTATTAATTGCAACGAGTAGTCTCGCATATTCCGTCGTAAAGTATCCCGACATTCTGCGCGAAAGTGGTTCACGGGCGGTTCGCAACGGGCATCATTACGAGCTTTTACGCGCTCGTAAAGACAGAAATGGAGTGACGGAGGAAGGGAGCGTGGCTTGGTGTAATAGGGGTAACGGGAAGGCATGGATATTGCAAATTTGCGAGTGGCATTACCGGAGAGAAAGCATTTATAGGCGCGCGGAGGAGGCGCTGGAGTGAAATATGAGGCGATGTCATCCAACCGCGCGACGTCTATATCGATGAAATTCAAGCTTAACGCGTTAATAAGCGTTACCGGGTCGTCAATGTCCTCGTGATTGGAAGATATGTGTAGTATCTCAGATACATCGTACTTATCTTAGGAGATACGATATTTCCAGAGAAAAGTTTGTAATCGTATTTCACGTAACAAGTATTTGCGTTTCTATCCGAAAAAATCAGAAAAATAATGTATGTATTAAAAACGTGAAAAAAAATTGTGTTACATAATAAGAAAGATTAAAGAGAGTGGGGGGTTATTGAATGTTGATCGGAAACATTAACGACTTTTTAAATCGATATTATGAAACTTTAGCTCGACGGGTTTAAACAAAAGGCTATTTGAAGACAGGCGAACGCGATGATAAAGACGTTTTACGATCGCAGCACGAGCTTGAAAAACAATTTTTCAACAAAAGATTGACAAAAAAAAAAGAAAAAGGAGAGAAGGAGGAGAGGAAAATGAAAAAGCGGCCGACACCCCGCCGCGCGATACTTTAACAAGAAAAATCTTTGCAGTCGTCGAGCAATTTTATTTACAATGGTTAAACGAAATCTTGAAAGAATATAAGCGGCGAAACTCGTAAATCGTACCGCGGAATCTATTGTGCCTTGACTTAGAAAAATAAACCCCGTTACATCACCGTCGTGCGCATCGGATACGCGACTGTATAACTCGAATGGGAGGCGAGGTAAAATGAAAGAGGTAATGTTTTGCATTCTCCGCTTATTCACGATGAGAGAGAGAGAGAGAGAGCATATTTTTCAAATACAAAGTGTTTATAAAAGTATCAATTAGTCACTCGTGCATCCGAGAAGAGACGTTAATGACGACTATCAGCTGGACAGTTAGCGAGCGTCTGGAAAGCAAGCGAGTAAATACAATCGCCGAGGAAAACGTCGCGTGAAAAGCTGCCGGGGTGAGACGGTAAAGTGAATGTAAATACCTAAAAAAATAAAAAAAATAAAAAAAAATAAAAAAAGGCGCAAACTGCACGTGCCAGGTGTAATATAGTGTTATTTTATCCAAAGCAAAAAAGCTGTTGTAACGTGAAAACTGTCTTCCTCAAATGAAGGATATGCATTTTCATCCGTTGCAATTATAAAACAGATAAAATATCAGTAAAAAAATATACTAATTATTTTATAGATGCAATCATTTAGTTTTACGATAATGCTCACGCTTCTCACTGTAAATTAAAATTAAACAGCACTCTCATATATATATTTTTCTGGTTAAGAACAAAAAGCGCAATGGAACTTAGTAAATTCGTCGTAAACGTGTAAAAATCTTTTAAATTGCTTTACGATTGTCGTACAAGCTCATTGATCCGATTATATGAGGCGAGTCGTGAAATTTATCGGTTATCGCTTCACGAAGTCCCGAGATAGTTATCGGTCCGATGTAAGAGAGCATTTCCGCGATCGTTTCCGCGCTAATTCTATATAGAAGAGATGTATAGAATAACGCGAAGAAAAATCGGATGATGGTGTTAACTGTGAGAGAGAACGTGAGCTCGAGATCCGCGGCGTTATTTATCAACGACAGCGATATTCGGTTAACGGAACGGCGATTACGCGCGAAGCGTGAAAGAGGAAGGAAGATTTTATCGGCGCGAGAGTCCAGATGTTGTATCTGTTGTGTAAACGCGCTTCCACTTCTCTCCCGGATGATGAGTAATTACGCCGCGCGAAGAAAAATACAATGCTCTCTCTCTCTCTCTCTCTTTCTCGAGAAGGGGAGCGATCCTCCTCCCGCGCAAGCAGGTGTGTATAGCCGTTACTCTTTAGGATCATTTGTTCAGCCGTTGCGTTAAGGGTCAGGGCTAAGAATGATAAACGATCCCTTTGCCTCGTCTTCGGCGTATTCCTCCTTCGGGATTACCTTCAAGGGGAGTATAACGGGCTTCACCGGAGGAACAGGGAGGGAAGAGAGGAATAGGACCATCCTCTCGGTCCCTTCCTTCACCTTCGTCTTAATGTAGGCGAAATTTAAAGGGGCAGCTCTCTTCGAGACGGGGAGACCTTAAAGAGGAAATTCGTTGCTTCGCTAGTCGACGATCGCCGGTCGACGAGAGCGTCCGTGTCGCGACGAGAGGAGACACGGCGACGACGCGTCGCCCACGGGACGATTTAAATCAATTCGCTGCGCCGCGTAAGATAAATTCCCAGACTGACGTATAAGCGATCGCGAAAGTTTTTCATAGCACGCCGGGCGCCGCCGCCGCCCGCGTTACGTGCGATATGGCGTGGTACAAAAGTTTGCTCCTTAAACGATCCGATACGGTCGGCAAACTTCTTTCCGCGCTCGCACGGGTAGGTGCGCCGGGAAAGGGGGAAGCTGCGTGATTAAATCGGGTGCCGCATCGCGAATGATATACGTTCGCCTTCGCGTTCGCGCCGACCGTACGTGCGTTCGATTCGATCGGCGGGTAATTACTTACGTAAACTCCGAGAAGCGAAAACTGCTCTACGTCCTATCTTTTTTTTTTCTCTCCCCCTCTCTCTCCTTTCTATGACCACGGTGGTAGATAAAAAGTTGAAGGACGTCGTTATCGAATTTAAGTTTGCTCGGTATAATTTCGCGGGAAGCCCTATCTGCGCGTGATAGAGCTTAGCCCGACATCGGTATCAACCAATCCCAGGTGTTCAATTGGCGCTCCGCCAGAATTTAAGCTCGGCTTAAATTTTGCGCAGTCGCTGCTACCGCTACTACTACCACTATTGCGGACGACTATTACGGTAACTAGGGCAGATTCGGATTAGAATTAACTAATTGTTGCGTACACCATCCTAATTAGGTGAAATTCCCGCATGCTCTCCGCGCACTAATATTTGATTGGAACCGCGGGATATCCGCATGAGAGGAAGTTAAATCTATTTCCGTGGCACACGTAATCGTGATGTCTTATATAATCGATGGTATATTATTATAATATTCGGGAAAGAAAGTTTCGTAATTTGCGTAATTTTCTTTAGACTTGTTTAATTTTAAATTGTGAATTTTCAATTTCACTTCCCTATCAATATTCGGGCGGATGGAGTTGCAAGGTAACGATGACTTACCGATTACATTTAAATGGACTAGATGACTCATGTGGGGCGTCGTGGAGACCTGGCACTCGTAAATACCGCTGTCCCGATGCTGCGGATATTTTATCTGGAGCGTCCAGTCGTCCGAATGGGCAGTGTGGATCGCGCGAAATCGCTGGTCGTTCGTGTACGTGTAACGGCCAATTGTGAGCAAATGGACGTCTCTGTGCCGGACCCACGATACTTGTAGCGTCATCTGCAAAAAAAATTAGTTTGGAATTATAGCATATGCGAAAGAAAAAAAGCGGAGAGGGGTGGAGAGAGAAGAAAAGATACCGCGGTGGTCTATGGGAAGCATGAATGATTTCCTACGGTGGTTGAACTCGGAATCTTTTGTGCTTGGTTAAGGGTTATCCATTATTACGCCGGGACACGTAATTAGAGGCTCGTTTGTGTCTGGCGTGCTCGTAATTAGCAAAATATCGGTCAGGACTTTTAATCATGCTCCCGACCAGGAGATCTCGACATGCCAGCGCCGGCATTATCATTCAATGCAAGTTTTTTTTCTTTAAAACAAGCGTGTGTAAAATAGAGATATGAATAAAAATAAACGAATGATTTTTCTCGGTTCATATATCCAGAGAAATTCTCTCGTATAAAATGTCAACTGTAAGATAAATTACATCCTGCTATCGCAAGATGAAATAAATAATCGATTATCGTGAACAAACGCATAGCTAGCTTCTATATAAAAATTAAATTAATAAAAACATTCTCGAAAAATCAAAATAAACACGAACCGAATAAAATATAAAATTTCACTCGCTCATTCGAAAGTATAATTTTCTTCGTTATCCGAACTATAGCCTGCGTCTTTTAGCATTTGTAACGTGCATGCGCGAAGAAAATGATTCGTGTAGATAGCTAGCAATTTCTCTCCAATGACACGTGCAATAGAATAAATTACAAACAAGATCTAAATTCGGAGCAGGCGAGCGGGATATACGACGCCGCATCAGATACAACTTTCGCGCTTCTTCCTCTTCCTCGTACGGAGGAATTGATAGAGTCGCTTTGCATATCGTTGCGAAGCTGGCGTGCGAGATAAAACGCCCCAAGCCGCGATAATTGGACACCCGAGTGCGGTGACGTGTAAATATTTGTATCTTTCGAACGGGGTCGATACTCGAAAGACACGAACCCTTTGCACATGCAGCAGTAACGTAGTTCAGATTGCATCTCTACCTGCCGGAAGATGTCCTGAAAGCGATCATTTGATTTTTTGTAGCGCCCAACATTGCCGATTAAATTAAATGTCGCGATCTAATCGAGAGCTAAGCTTGCATCGATAAGATCAATATTAATCGAAGCACGGGTTAATAACGCGAGCGAGCGGGACGCGAACATGAGAATTGGAAATGGAAAATTAGAATTAATCCAGTTTGCCGCGATACTTGTATATTAACGGCAACTTTGAATAAATCTCGAGAAGCGCGATGTTAAATATTATGTACACAAGATA